AATAAGTTAAACTCTTTTCTTATTTTGACTACACAGCAAGTGATATTCCCGCACAAAACACGATTCATTTAAAGAAGAAACTGTCAACCTCTGAAATGTTGTTATTTTCGCTGACTACTAGAATAGTATTTGGACGGCGCAATGAAAAAACCATTGCTGTTTACCAAACTTTATCAACAGGAGATCCAAGTCATTTCCATTGTTCTTTCCATTCTCAAAATTCATTTCGTTTTTTCGTTCGTTGCGTACCTTCACTTCTTCTCTGACGTTGTTAAAATAGTTCTAAAATTCCCAGGGCTCGATCTTAGAAAGCTTCAGAAATTAGTACGATCTGTAATACTTTATCAACAACACCGAAACTGTGATATAACATATATTATAACGTTTACAAATGATTTTACTATCGAAATTGGTAATATACGTTGTATTTGATGTGTTTTTAGGTAAAAATCTCCGCGGAGCAACAAATTGTAAAATGTCAAGATCGATAATCACTGGGATCAACATTACTACACGTTTTCAAGATGGCGGTGTCAAAATTTTCTGAAAACCCTCCAAATAATATTAAGTTAATTTTTCTGGCGAGTTCACCAATATCATAACTTGTTATCTAGTAACAAGATAGAGAAATATGTAAGAAATTCAATTTTATCGATTAAAACATCACATCGACATGTGGTATTCGTTTACGAATATGGGGATGACGTCACTTCAAAACGAACTGCATAGCAACGGTGTTAATAAACAATTTCTGACCTTGCAAATTCCTTTAGTATTCGTTTTTAACAGTTTGTTACGAATTACTAATACTTTTCTTATGAATGAACTCTTACTACATTAGAAATAAACATTTTATAAAACATAACGAATAAAATCAGTAGCAAACGCAAAGAAATATATTTTTTGAAGCAGGTCAAAATATTTAGAAGGGTACATTTCGCGGTTATGCATGAGGTAAGGCACAGGAGGTACGGATTGCACTGGACGAAAGTCTCGGAGATTGTGTTCTATCGACAAAATCGGGTAGTAATCTACGGTGATCAGTCCATTTAAATTTCACGCTTTTGAACGTCATAGTGTATACATTCAATTCTAATCGATCATAGTACCACCCAGCTACGGATGCTAACGTGTTGACATACTTTTCATAAAAATGCAGAAATGTGTATTGACTTATGTAACACTATGCTAGAAACTCTTTTGGAGCAAACCCAAATGCGTACTTTTGGCATCATCGTCGGATCCATAAAATTACGATCCAGTTCATTATAATGAGGTCGGAAATTACAGACTCTACCAGTCATACCGCATGGTTTTGATTCATGGGAAAAATATACTCAGTACAGTACAGTGAATATCTTATAGCAGTGTCTAGCAAGTAACAGCATGTATGTTTTGTTCATAGTCCGTTATAATTAGTTATCCATTAATTTGAGTATTTGACATCTTATTCTTTATATCAGACTGAATATTAAAACACGTCATTGGCATGCAATTGCATTTTGATATTTAAATTCAAATGTCTACCCAAAATACTTGTTTTTATAGCATATATCTTAACGTTGTCACAGTTGATGTCATTTCAGCTACTCAAATCAACTATTTGCGGTGGCCGCACTTCAATAAAAGATAACTTATCCTATGCTTGCGGAGTATTTACCTGGTTTAGATTCCTGCAATTCGTTTATTTATTAAAATGTAAGGCTGTAATTTTAATGGTGGCCTACCTAGTTGCCAATTTCCTATGCCTTGGTCACATTTGCCCCGATTTTCACTACAGCGCCCGGCCGATTGAGTATTTTGTTCAAAATTGAATACAATATTGAACAAAACACTCAATTGGCCGGGCGCCGGCCGATGGATCGGAGCAAATGTGACCCAGGCATCAATTATTGGCAGGTACCTTAGAGTTTCTTCTACCCGGGGTTTGCCCATGGTATATTGATAGTAAAAATGGGTTTATGGTATTGACACAGTAGCATCACGGAATATTGATTTCGATGTGCTTATTCTATAATTTAGTTGCACAATTTTTTGTTTGTTCCTCTATATTTTGCAGCACAATGGTAAATTTATGCAAGCGGCCAAGAGGTACACATGCGAGAGGCCCGGGAAAAAAGTTCTCTAAACGAGAAAGTTATCTAAAAGCGATTTTTTGAGAACATTTGACTCAATTGATCGTACTATTTTGCTTGATGAACTTTCAAACTATGAAATCAACTGTGGAATAGCGGTAACATAGTTATATGACAAAACACCAAGACAGTGTCTCAATCATCGTTCATTATTAATCATGGTGTTATCCAGGGATCTGCTTCTTGTTATATTATTTTTCTATCAAACACCTGCATAAATCAAGTATTTTATTGAATTTGTCACTATTGGTGATGACACATATCTATTTTAATCATACAAAACGTTGATATCTATAAATATACAAAACTTGCATAAATATATACATTATCTGATACGTTATTTTTGTATATTTTAACGTTATCCTATTCATTTACATTGAAAACATGGGTCCCAGTGCTATCATTTTTACTTTTTAAGGTATGTTAGAAATTCGATATTTCAACAATGACAGCCCTAGTTTGCATTATATACAGTGTGTCTAAAAAAATGTTACTCTTACAAAAAGTTCAATATCTTTCATAATTTTGACTTTTCCCCTAAAATATACTTACGGGATACCAAAAGACAAATCTTTCTCGAATAATTTGACCATCAGATTCAAAATCTGTCCTTGATTGGCTCCAAAGGACATCTTTTAGTGTCCCATGGTAAAATCTGACTTGCGCCAACTTCTAAGTGATTGAATGGACCAAACGACAAAGAGGAACAGCTTCTTTAACATTTAACTTTCTTCTGAGTAGAAGCTTGACCTTTAACTGAGTCATTCTGCAATTTTCCTATTTGTCTTACATATTATCATTGGGTCTATCCACATAAACATGTGCCCCCCTCAACATGTTCTCCAAAGCAAATCTGAGGTACCCTTGCCCATGTGCTCATGCATTGTACGAGCATCACATCACATCACATCGTAATATCACACTGATTCCATCAATTATTTTGCAGAAGTCCATTTAGGTCAATTTGTGATGCTATAAAGCGCTTTAAGAGGCCCTTCAAAAAAATCAAGGGTGTAAAGCGGAATGACCCTGGGGGCCAATCCATTGGGTAATTCAAAGCTATCTTCTGATTTCCAAAGAGTTCTACCAAAATATCTGCCACAGGCCTTTGCTCCATCCTGTTGCCATCATACACAACAAAATTGAACACTATGACAATGAAATATTGTATTTCTATCCAGGAAAGAAACAACTGGATCATTGATCATATCAAGATATCACTGTCCACAGCATTCACACCAAAAAAAGAATTGATCACCACATGTCCAACCACTGAGAAGTGGCGCAAATCAGATTTCACACGCGTCTTTAAAATCTGTCATGTGAAGCCAATCATGGATGGATTTTGAATCTGATGGTGTGGTTTTATTCGAGAAAGATTGGTATTTTGGTACCTAAGGATATTTTAGGGGAAAAGTCAATTTCATGAAAGATATTGAACTTTTTGTAAGTGTAATATTTTTTGAGACACACTGTAGTTTTCACCCAAAGTTATTGTGTCAACCAAATTAAACTACTAAGAATTTAAGGAAACCACCAATTAGTCAGTACATTCCCTTGTACTGCAAGCTTGATTATTAACAAAATATTTTGAATAAATGTGAAATGCCGATTATAAAATATGCTAATTTGCATATATGTACGATATCTAATAAGTTATCATTGTATCTTTTAACATTATCTTATATTATCTTTTGACCCTGAAAACATGGGATGTGGCACAACAATTGTGGTGTTATCATTCTTACTTTTTAAGATTATGGAAGATATTCAATATTTCAATAATGGTCACCAAAATTTCCATAATTAAATAATTTTCTTCTGAAGTTATTTTCGGCAACCAAAATAAATCACTAAGGAAACCCTCAATTAGTCAATACTTTCAATTGCACTGCAAGCCTGACAAATAAGATATTTTTAATGAATGCGGTATTTCAATTATAAAATGTGCTAATTTGCATATATTCATATATATATAATGAATTATTCTTGTACCTTTTGCATTATCTCATTAATTGACAATGATTGTGATGCTATCATTAGTACTTTTTAAATTATGTAAGAAATTGATCAATAATGGCCGCCCTAATTTGCATATATAATTTCCCCCTAAATTAGTAATTTTTGGCAACCCAATTAAATCAATAAGGAAACCCTTAATTAGTTCATTAGTCCGTAATTTTCATTGTAATGAAAGCTTGAAACAGAAAATTTGGAATAAATGCGATATTTCAATCATAAAATATGCTTAGTTGCAATTATGTACAATATCTAATAAGCTCTTCTTGTATATTTTAACAGTATCTTATTCATCAACCCTGAAAACACGAACCTAGACAAAGTAATTATGCTGCTATCATTCTTACTTTTCAAGATATCGAAAACAATCAACTTCAATAATGGCCTCGCTAATTAGCCTATATTATTTTCCCCCGAACTAACTTTTTGTCCAACCCAGCTAATGCCTGGGTCACATTTGCTCCGATTCATCGGCTGGCGCCCGGCCGATTGAGTGTTTTGTTCAAAATTGTATACAGTTTTGACCAGAATACTCAATCGGCCAGGTGCCGGACGATGAATCGGAGCAAATGTGACCCAGGCATAAATCTCTTCAGGAAACCCTTATCATCATAAATTAACCAAAAAACATCGTGTTTTTAACAATTCAAAGGTTCACTATAGGAATTGTGGTCGTTACACAATTATGAAGTCATGAATGCACATAGTCCATTGAACAACATGGGGGATTTTATAATATCCCCCTCACTCCTCGAAAGTGGAAATCTAGACATTGGGCTCATATTTTGAGATTAATCTGATTTCGGGCATGCTAGGTAAATTAAAAATCGACAAAGAAATCTTGTGATAAGCATGACCTCTACTGGTCCAACCAAATTTTGAACATCTTTCAACAAAATGATTCTTAATTAGGCAGAGTAATACCATTTATTGCAGATTATTAACAATACAATGTGTTTGTCTACAGCGTTCTCTTTCGTCCATAGTTCTTTAAAGCCTAGCATAAATCATTATGGATATCGATTAACTGCGACTGGTCGTTTGTAAGTTGGACGAGGTTGTTTGTATGGTACACCATAGACTGGTTCTTCGTATGTGGGAGCGACATATACTTGTTTCTTTGGTTTATAAACTGGTTTCTTGTAAGTAGGGGGAGGGTAGGCTGGTTTTACGTAGTTTTGTTGGTGTTTCACATAGGCCGCTTTGCTACAAACCTTTGTGTAGTCGTCGAAAGCTGTCCCTGAAACAAAACGTAGATTTGACGATTAAAGTCTATGCTAGCCGTATGACTTAGTATACCGCTACTTGTCAAGGGAATTTTGACTTATAGATCACAAGCTAGTCTGTGGGGCCAATGAACGTGAGAAAATACCTCTTGGGTATATCCCGTTATGGTCGTAATGAACCCATGTAATCATGGAATGATTACCAGGAACACTTCCTTGGAGGAGCCTTGTGTTTGTCCTTCAAATGTCTTGTTCATTCTATAGTGTGTCATTTCAGTTTTAACCAGATTTATATGGAGTTGTTGATTTTCTTTCTCAGAGATATTTCTTTTTCTTTTTGACGTTTCGTAGGATGTCCATCCCACTTCTTCAGAAATAAAATTAGAAGTGGGATGGACATCCTACGAAACGTCAAAAATAAAAATAAAATATCTCTGAGAAAGAAAATCAACAACTTTGTACATTACTACCAGAGAGATGAACATTCATAGAAATAATTATTTACATTTCAAGAGGTTGATTACACGACCATTGACCAATAATTAAGTATTCCAGCTAATGTAACAGCGAACAAGTTGAACAGAGAATTCTTCTTCCTTTCCCTGCAATATGATTGTATTATTTATTTGTAATCATAGGTTTTGTTTTTAATATTGGGCTATACGTAAAACACTTACCATATGGGCAATTCAAATAGAAAGGTTTGCAACATATACAAGGCTTGGTCTTGCCGGTGTATGGATCAGTCTTATAGTCACAGCCACACTGGATGAAACCATTTTTGTTGTAACTGTCAGGAAACAGGCCACTTGGATTGTAATCGCATTTTGAGTCGCATGGATCTAAAAAGAGATGTGGACATTTTATGTATATTACTAGTAGTTATAAGTACAGCTTACTCGTTCATATAAGTTACAGATCCATATCTCATAATATATAATGATAAGGAGAGTTTGTAGTTTATAAAATTTTAACGTTTTTTAAAGTTTTAAATACACTTGTTCTTTATGGAGCTTTTTTCTGTCTCAGAATCTGATAAAGATCAACCGTGCGACAAGTCAAATCAGATGATGTGATACTGAACCTAACACTAAAATGTAGCAAAGCGAGAGACACGATAAGTAATTTATTCTTTCGAGGTCGCAAGCGATAAATTCAAATATGAAACGCGGTTGAGGTTTGTGAAATTTTTGGAAAAAAGTCAAATACAGATAGTAATAATGGTTTTTGATGGATTGGATTATTGTCTGGGAGTACGTAATTAATGGGTTGAATTTGCCATAGGCATCTAGTTCAAAACATAGCATTACTTTATGCATGCTCATCATATGACATAAATTAATTTTTGTGCTTATCATTAAGCGTACCTCAAATCTGCATTCATCTCATTAGGTTCAGTGATGCCTTTAAAGAGACAATCAGATCTAGCGGGCTGGCAAACAAAAAATTGTTTCAATTTTAGAATATTTCTGACTCATGTCATTCTTTGTCATGTCTATTTTCTAAAAATACCCAAATGTGCACACTTTATTTCAGGAAAACTAAAAATAAAAGATCTTTACAATAATGTATTATTTTTCTATAAGAATGGTTACCATTCTTATTATTTGGGAGAATTTAAACATTTCCCCCACTTTTGCACTTTGAATCCAAAATAACTTCACCAATTTATAACACGTTGTGAATCTTTTCGGAGATATTGTATTTGATATTGTAAGGAATAGTTTGGTAGGTCAATTGTACATATTGCTTGTAACTTTGTCGCCCCTATAGATCTGATTCTGCCTTTAAAAAACTATGTGTTTTCAAATGACTATTTTTGATTGCTATAGTGACACCGTCCATCCTGCAACGAATCCGGATTTGCGCATTGTTTTATTCTATTGCGATGTATAATTCATATTTATGATAAAAACATAAAGCATCACCCTTTTCTTCCAAATAGGGAGTTACTATAGCTCAATAAAGCTGAATAAATAGATGCCAGCGCACTTGCTTTTAGTTGTTTTGATTGGGCTGCCATAGGCGACATTGGTAAAAACTTGCAATAGTAACTTATATGTAATTTCATGATTAATCAAAAAGTTTGGCTGAATTTGTCTAAACTCGAATGGCAAACTATGGGATCACCCTGTCAATGTACAATTTGTAGTTTTTAAAGAATTCTAACATTGTATCAATGGAGATTTGGTCAACACTTTTTTAGAAAAGTTACAAAGTCATAAAAATGATTTAAATAATATAACTGTATAAATCAAAATTACATTTTTTCATGGAACATTTTTCACTGTACCTATTAAAAAAGGAAAGGTAAGTCATTTAGGGTCTGATATGCAAATCTTAAAATTCAACTAAAAGAGAATTAGCAGGATATCAAAACTTCATAGAAACTTATTTTTCAGAATGCTACTAAATCTCAGCTAAACAGTCACAACACAATTGTATTCTTTAATTCGTGTTCACTTTTTTTGCTATCTCTTCTACAAACCATTGTTCAAAATCTAGAAACCTCGCGTAGTTGGATTTCATTCGATTTTTAATTGGCTCTGAATGATCCCTAGTTTGTTTATGAAAAGTTTAAATTTCTACTTTCAGCTTATATTTCCCCGTTTCGTTGATGAATAGGGCCAAGAGTATGTATACTTACTGTAAGCAGCTTGTTTGTATTTTGGCTTGTACCCACAGACTCCATAATCACCCAACTGTTTCTTGTTACAAAGGTCACCGTCGCAGAAGTACCAGAGGGAATCTCCTTGGTATGCACATTGTTTGTAAGGATCAACACCATAGGGCAAGTTCTCCTTGTTAGCACAACCACGATACACAACTACAACATGATCGGTAGGAGGTTAAGTATCAAATTAGAAGCACTTGGATAGAGATAATCATTAAATCAACCGAAACGATGTGAATGTAAAAATGCGTACACAAGAAAATATTCTAGATTGTCAAAATATGATGTTTCGTTCCTTCTAACCATTAACAGAGGGATTTCCTAACACACTTAAACGGTTTATAGAGTTTATAAATCTCTTATGTATATAACTTATAAAGCGTGTGCACTACGTCATCATTTGTTTCACAGCACTCTCCATTCATAAGGACCCATCGTTGTTTATAAGTGAGTAATTTCCTATCTCGTTTACTTAGACACACGTGTAGTTATTAGTAGGCCAGGGACTCATAGTGATACTTGGCATAAAGTCATACTACTTGCAATAACACCTTATAAACAAAAAATTTGGAGGAAAAATTATTCATTTTCGGTGAAAAGAACATTAGAATTGATCGATTAAGAATACATCTATTTGTATGAGTACATCTTTTTGTGAAATTTACTTATACTTATAATGTATAGCTATACACATAACATAAGTTATGCTTTCATGTATGAGCGAAATCTCTCTATTATTGGAAGCATAATAAGATGGTTATTCTTAGATTATTTTAAATTTTCTTGTTTATTTGCTTTTTGTCTTTCGTTATATATCTCTTATTTTTAAATGATGATTAAATCAAACGTTTTAATGACTTGACGTACGTCCATTTGGATCCTTTCTTATGAAACACTTTCCGGATTTACATGCCCATTTGTCCAAGGAGGCAGCATCAGCATAGTCGGTGAGAGCACACGCCAGATAACCAGCGTTGGGGGATACCACATCCCAATAGTTTGGGCGTTTGCTGACGTAACCGGATGGAGCATAGTTACAATCGTAGCAACGATCTATAAAATATGGAGATATTCAAAATTAGAAAACGATTGCAATGGCATATGGAATATACCCATATATAAAATTAACATTTCGAAAACAAGAGTCAAATTTTAAGTGATAAAATGTTCAAACAGCAAGAAATTTAACTACTACTATTATATATTTATCAAGCTTATTAATTTCTTATATACAATGAATACCATATATACAATAAATAGACAGTAACAATAAACTGCTTTCTTAAATATTGTTGAGGTAATTATTGTCAATCATACATCCTCCTCATGGAGATTATACATTGCATCTATTACAAAACAATACTTTGGTTCAGAACCAATGGCGTTCATGTCTAATGGAGTTCATGTTAAATGGGGCAAATAATATTACAGCAATATGAAATAAATATCATAAAAGTAAACATCTGAAATCAATATATCAAGTTGTCTTTAAATTCAACAAAATAAAATGTATTAATTACTTACATTCACCCTTTTGTGCAGCTCCAAAGACGGCACTTAGACCGATGGTAAAAATGACAACTCCCAACATGTTATCCCGATAGCTGGCTAACCGAAGATGACTCCAAAACATTTATCATTGCTTTTATACCCCAATGCTCTGTCATTCTATCACAGATTCGACAATACCATTGACCTTTGACATACCACACAGTGTCACTGTACAGGAAAGGGGAGTACCTGCCTGATCAGTGATTATGGAAACGTGTTGATGTCACAGAGACGTGACAGAAATCTTCATTTGTTATATTTTTACAGTACTACATTTGCAAGAGAGGAACAAATCCATCAAGTCTTATTAAATATTCATTGTCTATCAAAAAGCTAAGTGCATTTTATCACCTTATAAGGTAAAAGGGCGTGGAGCTAGGTTTTGGTGCCACATGATATTCAAAGGGTCTAGCAACTTGTTTAATTAGAATGTCAACACGAAAATAACATGTTATCGGGGCACTATCATGTCCAGTACTACTATACAATAACACATTCGTGAGTAGATGATGGCGTTAGAATGATGACAGGTTGTACGCTGTTGTATGTAATGACTGAAGGGGAGCTCATTATCACTATCCCAAGAGAATATTATGTATTGTTTTACTGATTTTCATGAGATAAGTGTGTTAATAGAATATATTTGTTGGTATGTGAACCAATCAGCGTACAGTATTTCTGTATTATGCCTCTGTACAATCTTGGTACAACTGAAGGAATACTCTGGTTTAACAGTTTACCCATGTGATAGATAATACAAAAACGTATGATATTCTCTATCTCATAATTTATTCATTTGGCATGTAAGCATAGTAATAAAATAATGTACAATGTGTATCATTCCAAAGAGTCATTGATAACAGGTGCCAGACGTGGCCTCAGGCCCGGATGAAAATCTGGCCGAATTGTATTGCACTAATAATCATAGCTCCACATCTCATTGTTCTTTTTACGATTTGTCAGTTAGCCAAATTGTTTAACAGCATTGCACGGAAGATATTTTCAAAGCTTTTGAACGACTGCCATACGATAGATCAGGATAGCTGCCGCATAAAATGTGTAGTATTACAAAACCGTGCCAATGCAGGTTTTTGGAACCAGTCCATGCCGAAGAATGCAGATACTGGCTCAAATGCGAACCTTACAATTGAATGGAAAATGTTGGACGAGCGTTCCACTGTGCATACTGGAGTTGTACCACCTTTCTTGAAATAATAGTTTATGTTAAATCTATTGTCTTTTATATATACAGGGTTGTAATTGTATATAAGGGCATCCTGCTCCTTGGTCACATCAGGGAATGTATGTTGACTTTTCCTTGCTGAAAGTAAAATGTAGTTATATTATGAACTTTAAGCCTCAGTTGCTTCGGCAGTCGTACGGCGCATTGCAGCTTGCCCACTGGGGCTGCCATACATTTGCCTTGGTATTTGTGAAAAAATATGCTCGTCGAAGAGACTCCCTATGGTGACCGTGCTCTCACTTTAAAAGGTCGTACGGTAATAGTGTTTTTTCTATCTCCACAAATTCAAAATACGCCGTAATACGACCACCGTAGCAATTGTAACTACTAAAGTTTTGGACCGTAGAGTTTCCATGGCTGCCGTATAATTGTTATTGATCATGGAAATAATAGAGCGTATGGTCGCATGTAGCAAATGTGACAAAGGTTTTAGTAGTCATGACTAATTATGAACGGGGACTAATACCAACAGAAAGATGGTAGGAGTGGTGTGTCCATTTATAGAATATATGATTTCAAAAAATTAAAACAAAATCCCCCCAAAATAGATAAAAATCAAGATTAACCTTTTATTTCATTAACAAGATCCTTTTTAAAATCAACCAAAATTTCCTTTGTACAATTACAATATTGAGAGACGTAAACATGTTGTGTTTATGTCGTTTTGTTCCAATGAGGTTCGGAAAGATATTTCATTTCACTCTGGAAACATGATACCAAGAACAAAACAAGTGTTTGAGGTGTTTTCTAAAACAATATAGATGAAGGTATATTTATATTTTTCAAATTATATTGTTACCATTCAAAAGATAACCATTAAATTGACGATGTGTTAACTTTTTAGATTTTTTATGACTGGTTTAAGAGAAACGTGTGTTCAAAAAGTTCTCCATATCGATACCACTCCTTTTCATAAGTGGGCCAAAACTTGAGGGCTATCATTTATTTCACAGCAAAAATATTTTAGGAACCATCAATTTTGAATTTCCAGGTCTCATAAAATAATGTAACTCGAAATATTTGGTTGTCAGAATAATTGTGAGAGTCGCAACACTCGGATAGCCCAGAACAGTTTGGCTTCCACATATGTGATATGTTAAAGAGAGAATCGGATCTAGCGAGCAGCCTAACAAAAAATTGTCTATTTTTGAATATTTCTGGAATATGCCATTCCTTTTCATGTCTATTTTCTAAAATTTCCCAAAGTGCCTAAAGATTTTTACAGTAATGTATTATTTTTCTGTAAGAATGGTCACCATTGTTATTATTTGGGAGAATTTTTCACCCATTTTTGCACTTTGAATCCATTAAAACTTCACCAATTTGTAACATATCGTGAATCTTTTGGGAGATATTGTATTTGAGATTGTAAGGAAGAGATTGGTAGGTCAATTGTACACTCCCCTCCATAAGTTTGGCAACCTTTTTTCCCCATTGAACTACGTGTTAAAGCCTCTTTACGTTTGAATTTTTATTTATTTAACCGGCGATGAAATAACATATAACCGAAAATTGATGATAAATTTGATGAATTTTTGAAAATCGTCATTCCCATGTAATCCAATGAGAAAGGGAGGGTTCGGGGCAAATCAGAAATCAGGATAACTTTTCAGTAAAAGATTCAGCAAAAAATATTTTTATATAGAAAATTGAATTGTCTAGCTTTTTTTAACACTAAGTGTTTAGTTTATTGGATGAATATTAAAGTTACAGCGCTTCAAAGTCATTTTTGAAAATAATTTTTCGCCTCCTGTGTTATTTCAATGGGAGAAGTTTTTTAAAAACAATTTTGACTTTAAAGCCCCATAACTTTGTTGAACCTGAAGAAACATATCAATTTTTTGTTAACTAAAGTTAGCAAATTCTATTGCCTGCCTAACTCGTATTTTTTGAAAGGACTCGATGGATGGATATTCTGTCATATGACTTGCGGCAAACCTACCATTTCCCATTGGTTAACATGGGAATGTCGATTTTCAAAAATTCATCAAATTCATCATCAATTTTCGACCTATTGTAATTGAGGAAAAAAATTGAGAAAATTTGGAGGTATTGGAAATAAAGTCAAGTTACGTTTCCATCAATATTATTAAGTTATTCCATCGCCGGTTAAATAAATAAAAATTCAAACGTAAAGAGGCTTTAACACGTAGTTCAATGGGGAATAAAGGTTGCCAAACTTATGGAGGGGAGTGTATATGTTGCTTGTATTTATGTCACCCCTACAGATCTAATTCTGCCTTTAAGTAAATGTGTATTGAGATGACATCGTCCCTGATTTCTCAAATCGACAGACAAATGACGTCATTCAATATTTTGTTAATATCTAATTAATATTACCCAACATCATAGCTTGTCATTTTACAAGATAAAGAAATATGTGCGAAATATGTTAACATTGATTAAAACATCCCATTCCCAACTGCGTTTGGTATTAGAAAGATGCTCCAAGATCTAGTTTATTTGCTAGAGGTGCAGTATTGAATTAAAAAACTGTAAATCTGCCGTTATCTATGTTGAGGGTTGAGATGAAATATATAATACCAATATAATACAATTAGTATAATATTCCACAATACCTTCATTAACGAAAAAATTTGCCATGTATTGTGCTATTTTCACGCCATCTATCGAGTGATCTAAATTATAAGTTGGTGTCCAAACGAAAATATTTTTCTCGGGATGCCACTGTACGCCATAAAATGGATACTGATAAGCTGAAAATAAAATGTAGAGTGTTAATTGCTAACATTAAAACAGAACAACGAACGCCTATTAGTGTAATATTATTGCTTACACGAGTAAATGTCAGAGTTAAAAATGCCCCGCTAACCTTCCATGGTTGAAATATACTCTAGTCCGTTCTCATCGACATCGGTAGACATCACCCTATAAAACTGTTTCAGCTTCGAATTTTCATTGAAATTCTACAAGAAAAGTATATACATTTCAATAGCACACCGGAATATAGTTTTTATACGTCTAACATGTATATAATTCTGTCATAATTTTGTACTTTTATTTTACATTACTGTACAAATAAATTGTATCTCCATTTTATTATGGGCAATAAAGATATACAATACAATACAATACAATAGCCTTACTACGGTAAAGTCAGATACCGTTGTCACAAAAGGCGGACATAACCGTCGCTTCAACTGAAGAGGAGGCAAAACCCCATGATTCAATTGATGACAGACAATTTCCTCCTTCGCCCACCTCTTTTCTCGGAAATACTTCCCCTTCATCTTGGTTTTCAAAATTTTCAAATTGACCTAGTTTTAAACCAATCAACGATCGACTCGCTAAACCAATCAGCGACGATGTCATCTTTGAACCCTGGGGTTTCTCCCCATCTACTTCAACTGTTTAATCACTTGGTTCTCATTTCATGGGATTTTATTGTCGCTAATTCTGTGCATGCATTAAGGTCTTGTGATAATGTATCATATGAGATCCAATTTTCGATCAATTTGGGTCTTGAATTGCCACAATATAGCGTCTTCGATATCGTCAATGACAACGGAATCTGAATTTGAGTAATTTAGAAAGACAACCGCATATGGTAATTACAGTGTCCGTTGTCCCGGTTAAATTAAAGACTTTATTTCAATGGTAGAACATTACGAACTGTACAATGAGTATAAAGACACTTTAATTGATAACAGTTCCGGAGGAATTTAGTCTAGGTGCTCTATTAAACATGCAGTTCATGAAAATCTAATTGAAGCGACGGTTATGTCCGCCATTTGTGACAACGGTATCTGACTTTACCGTTGTCAGGCTATTCCGGGGTGAATAGGTCGATCAGAAATCCATGGTCATGGTAATGTTTGAAGAACAACCAATACCGAACTAACGGACAAATTGCCAGCTCATCAATATCTAATTGATAATCTTATATATATGCAATAATGGAAATAGTAGCACGTGATCATGTCGATCGTATGGCAACCGTGTGGTCACGTTGACGCTATGGCATGACTTTACGACTTGTCTGATTTCTACGGCGATCGTAGTAATGAAAACTTTTATTCTGTATGCAATGTCCACAGCGAACATACGTCCCATAAAACAGAAATATTTCTTCTTCGCCCTTCGTAGGTATTCCCTCGATTCCGGGAAACTACGACCGCCGTACCCCCGCCGTACCCCATATTTTATTAAGACATTGGAGTCAGCATATCGTACATACAAATGCAAATGTATGTACGGTATAGTTCAACTGCTTATCAGAATACTATTAATTATTGTTGGTATAATGTAATGATTAAATTCGCATACCTTAGGTGTTAAACAATATTGATGGAAGTTCGCTGTTGAATTCGTTTCTGTAAGTATTCTAAGAATATTGCCATCTATACCATGAAATAGTCTACTGTCTTCATACCCTGTAATAAATTACGCAATAGTATTTCAAATCATCATTTTACTTGAAAATGTACACATTTGCAGGTTTGCAGCTAGTCCTAGCCTATAATGTCATTAGTGTGGTATGGCATGATATTATGCTGTGATAGAGAATTAGTCCGAATATGTAAAACTTTACCAAAGACTGAGAACTTTGAACTATATGTGACAAGATGATCAAGGCATACCTTTGACCAGATCGAGAGATGTTCGTATATTTTCCGCGCTACAATGCTCTAATATGTTCTTCCCAGCAGTTAATGCAGACAGTAGTTCAAACCCCAGGCACGTGCCCCATATTGGGAAATAGTCCCCGTTATCATTTGCCTACAAAGTTACACCGAGACGCAATTATCCCTTCAAGAGCTTAGGACGTTTTCCGAGATACATGTTGAAAATATGTAAGCACACTTTGAAATACAATAACTATAAGAAAAAACATTGGTTTGATGATCCCGCCATTCGTTTCAAGCGACGACCAAATATAAGTTGACGTTTTTGCCTCAAATAATAACTGCTCATAATTCATTCAAATCAATCCAAAATAGTTAAACTTATCCAAGATACCTTAGTCTCTAGGTTGTTGTGAACTATTCTTTTGGGGTAAGATCGAAAGACCAACACAAATGTTGAGTCGGCTGTTTCATTTTTTTGTTTAAATCTTGTAATCATGACGTGGAAATCAAAACGGATGTAATGCACTCTCCAAACTGATTTCCCCATTAGAAAAAAATTAATTCGTCTGATTTTTCGAAATGAGTATACTGCTTTTATTATTACATTTTAACAAGATACATGCCCTGAATCGATTGCAAACTTCATATTTGCACATTTGATGAGATCACCCTATGCAGACAGAGCCTGTGGGAAATATTGGGTGCGGCGCAAATGAGCGGAGGGTGCGGAGCTAACGGTCATTTTTGAATTTAAAATTGGGATATTTCTGAAACTAAGCCGTTTTGGGACTTCAAATATACCAAGATATGTGTATTTGACACCAAATATCAATAAAATTGTGAAAATAGTAGTGCAATTCATTTTATAGCGACGCAGTATGCCTTAAACATTTCCCAGACCTATATATTTTGAGACTATCCTTTTAATACTGCGTCCCCAGCATTCATAAAAAATGGTGTGGACTCAGTATTAAAAGGATAATTTCAAAATATATAGGTCTGGGAAAGGTTTAAGGCACACTGCGTCGCTATAGAATGAATTGCGCTACTATTTTCACAATTGTATTGATATTTGGTGTCAAATACACATATCTTGGTATATTTGAAGTCCCAAAACGGCTTAGTTTCAGAAATATCCCAAATTTAAATTCAAAAATGACCCTTAGCTCCGCACCCTCCGCTCATTTGCTCCGCACCCAATATTTCCCACAGGCTCTGTCTGCATAGGGTGGAGATATATCATTTGTGTCATATTTTGAAATTATTGAATTTTCAATCGATTCAGGTCGTGTATTTTGGTATTTTTATGATAATCAATAGAAACCGATGGCTTCTATTGGGATATGATGATATCAACATATTATGTCTATGGAGCACATCCTCATATGTCAAGTCAATACATCCTTGCTGAACTGAATGACCTCAATATCAGATCATGTCGATTCAAATGCATAAACATTTCCCAAAGTATTGTGTGACACTGTATTCTTGATGTCACACCTAAAAATGATTCATTCTGACCATGGGGATATTTGCCCATAATTGCACTATGTCCTTTGTCCACGTGTCTGTTTTAAAATCACGCGAAAATCTCGATTCGAACAACCTTAATTCTTTAATCTACGTTATAGCTCAATTTATTTCGATTAAATACAATTGAAAGAAATGCAAATTACAAATATATACGGTATACTCTACCTTGATAGCGAGATCGTACAATTTTTTGGCTTCGCAGGCAAAATCTGACGTCACAATATCTACACCGCCGCCCGGAAACAGTACTCTATTAAAGAATTAAGGGAATTTTAAATTAATATACATTGTTTCACAATCGTACAGAGAAAATATAACTTGGGGGATTTCGTTTTCCTTGTATACGACAGTCTCAAATAAGTCATCTTTGAAAGTTGGATTCGCGCCTTTCATTGTTATTAAAACGTTAGATTGTTTTATCTGGATTTTTAATTCGGTCTAAAGATTATGTAAATGAAGAGGTGATGGTCCAATGTTACCCACCCGGGCGATGTAAACCGTTAGGCTACTTTTGCCCGCGTGGGTGAGTTCAATGCAACTAGAGAAGATATTTTCGAACTGTATTTTAAAGAGCAGATCCATAGTCAATATCGGGTCAGATGACTCAAATGATTTAAGCTTCCCGACCAATATGCATAGCGGCGCTCAACGGGATCTGCATTTTCATTAAAGGGAGAATACTAAATTCTAGTTCATTGAATAACTTTTGTCAGATAATCTATCCAGTTCAATCTAAAATAATTCAAATCAGAAGTACAATGCCATGACCCTCTTCACAGCCACTCTTTGTATTATCAGAGGTAATGTTATCCCCCTATCACACCGAACTAGTTTCCAGTCCTACAAAAGTGGTAAAACGGGCTAAATCTGTCTGTGGTCGGGAAATGGCTACTTCATTCATAATCAGTGATTCAAATCAACTTCTGGTCTGAGCACGGCCCAAAGGCCGTAGAAAGTTGCAGCTACTTTCATTACGTTCGCACACACTTTAAATCCAATTCGACAACGTTTTGAAGAATGCAGTGACAACTAGTTTTGTGTGATAGCCACTTTTGCTAAATCTTTCATTTAAGCAGTCTATTCCGTCTACATATCGCATTCAAGCAGTTCAATTATGTCCTTAATAAGTTTAAATTCATTGGCAATTAGTTCCATCTCGTTCTCAATACGTCCTTATAGTAGGATTGAAGTACGACAGTTCTGTTCGTAATTCGTCAAGCTCGTCTTAAGTACGTTGTCACTCGATCAGAAACGCGACGACGACCAGAACATTTCCAGCATGATATTGCCATACTTTCACATCAAACTAGTTCTCACAAGCGTTATCGGATATCGATTGCAATACGTGTGCACACCGACATGGTGCGATCTGAACGAATTGCAAATGAGGTGGATGTATTGAAGACTGTTTATGAACGAAGTTGCTAATCGTTTTAGACATATTTCCCGACCACATCCCGATTTAGTCCGTGTTACGGCTTTTTCAGAGGATCGGAATGAACGGTTGAGAACTAGTCTGGTGTGATAGAGGGTGACTCTACTATCACACCAAACTACTTCTCACAAGTTTGCTTGGTTTTAAAAATTTATCTTGTTAATGAAATAAAAGTTTTTTCTTAATTTTTATCTGTTTTTTTTTTTTGGGGGGGGGGGGTTGTTTTTGCATACTCTTTGTTAAATCAACCAAAATTTCCTTTGTATAACTATAATATTGAGAGGTCTATAAGAAAATGTTGTATATGCTATTTTGTTCCAACAAGGTTCGGAAAGAGATTTTATTTCATTCTCAAGAGTTGGTAGAAAGGAACAAAAAACAATTGCACTAAAAAAAAAAGTTAACAAAAATAGTTATATAAAATACTGTATATATAAATAATTTTTGCATTAAATGACTGTGTTTTTTTACAGAATGATTTCAATAATTGGTTTAGAGAAAAATATTGTTGATACCTATCGATATCCTTTGAGGACAATGAATCAATAATTGAAGTCTTCAATATCAGCCTCTATAGAATATCTGATTCCAATGAAAATCGCCTTCATGTATTCAGAGATCGTGTCACTAGATGCAAGAAGTGTATCTCATTCGGGGGAGATTATTTTGAAGGCATGTGCGTGTGAGGCATTTAAAAGACTCTCCATTATGACCCATACGAGAATCAATGAATATGGCATCGACCTTATTACAGACAGTGATCAGCTGCTCCACCCTAGCTAATTTCAAATCCAGAAACATCTGTATTATTTGTAAATCTCATTCAATTAATAAATAATTTATGTCATCTTACAAGCAATGTTGTATGTATATCCTGTGAAATTTTCAAGTTAAAATTTCAAAAAACCAAAAAAATTAGAGCACTTGGTAAGAAACGTTCTGATCGGGCCTCGTACGTTTAGATATAACCCTTTGTTCGAAACCTCTCTATTACCCGTTGATTGACTTGAATATTTCCTCATAGTATTCCTCGCACTCGTCTATTTTAATAGGAACCACTCTAGCACCTGCCATTTCAAGGTAATTCACGTAGGTATATGGAATGTACGTCTCCCCATACTTCGCACCAGACTTCCCCGTAGACTGGGCCAGCACGCCTAAATGTAGAAAACTGACTCTTGAAAGCAATTGAAGAAAAGCGAGCTGAACAAAGAATCAGTGATGCAGAGTCTTGTTAGCAGTAAACATGTTAATCATTTGATCAAAACATGTTGATGACATCCACAGCAAGTTAAATAATAAAAACAATTAATATTGGAAAACATCTCTAGTATTTTATCCATAGCATTCCTCAAAGACAGACTACAGCATTGAAAAGGGTTTTGAGATCAGATATGTGAAAGGGGTTATTTCTAACAGTCTGTGTTTGGTATTTAACTAATTATTTGAAAGATTCAGAGGTTTACATTAACAAACAAACGTTGATCTTCCTAAAATATGTTATGCTATGCTTACCTATTATTGGTCTGAAGTTAAGTGATGGCGAACTACTACTCAATCCAAAACAATAAATATGCCACAACACCATACATTTGATACAAAACGTATCGATCTTAAATATCTTGCTCTTCGAATATAAACGATTCATTTTGTATACGTTTGTTTATTATTTGAAACACAACAACTATACCATACAAAGTATTAAGCCGTGATAAAACATGAACTTTATTTAACTCATATATTTAATGGTGGTTATATATTAATGAAATAAGTGAATTAGAATTTACATATTGCACTTTGAATTCGTATAACACCATTTGATAAGATATCACGAATAATTTTTCTGAGAACAATCTCTCCCGAGAGTCTGAAAAGAATCTTCTTAATGTTGAAGTGTCTTGTCACGTGTTTTCCAGGGAAACGTTCGTATGTTGTGTTAAGTAATCGACACAAGATGTAGAACTTAGTTGTATGTAATAATACATATATATTTAATCATCCATTTTATTTGATTCATAAAGCATTTCGTAATTTTCTCTCCTTGAATAGTAGTTTCCTTTGACTTGTAGTGAAGTCCAAATTCAACTCAAAAATATATAATAACTTTAAAATTTCACTTTTAAAAACAAAAGTTAAGCTAAATCATTCCGGGCAAAATAATTGACCTCACAGTGGTTTCTAACCGTAACAAAAAATTTGGGACATGTCATTGCAATCATATTTTTGATTTAGAAACATGTTTTTACCATTCACCCTTCAGAAGTACGTCTGGGATTCGATTTCATCGATACCAGGTTATAAAATCAAACACATATAGACATTGTCATCATAAAGATCTTCATTCAGGTTCAGTATGTTCGGTCCGCGAGTATTTGTGAGGAGGTTATGCGTTATACAGTGTACAGTATGTCATAACTCATTGGTCAGTATCAAGCGAAAGTAACGGCCGTAACATTCGCATCTAGGATGGCGGACGGTTAGTGTCGATTTCGATATTTTCATCGAATAAATTAAACCACTTTATAGTTGACGTAATGCTTATATATTTGATCTATGTATATCAGACATGACATGAGAACTCTGGAGTACGATCATTTGTTCATATACCATAGGCACCAAGGTAACCAGGATTTGGGTTTTACATAATATACTATAACGTCATGAGAGTTTTTAATGGAGAGCTAAGATGCCCATTAACCGCGTATTGAAAATTGACATGACAGTTAACGCATCATACATCACCAGTTACCTCCCTAAGCGGATGAAGATATCGTTGAACTGTGGCGCCCGCGCACAATATATGAACTAATTATCATACTCCATAGTTTCCATGTCATATAAGCCTTATTTGGTTCAAATATCAAAGCATAACGTCAACTATAAAGTAGTTTAATTTAATGAAAACTATAAATATCGAAATCGACAATTATCATCCGACATCTTGGATGCGAAGGCTACGGCCGTTACCTTCGCTTGATATTGACCAGTGATAACTAACCTTACAACTCGTGGCCTTTTTTAAAAACTGACAAATTGTGAATTGTAAACATTCTGTGATATATAAATCGCATATATGGTTGAGATGTTCTTATTGCTTATTGTGTATTGCATGTTGATTATCTGATACACTTACCAAGTTCACAAGAATATTCATTATAACACGATTGTTCACAATCATCAATTTCATTTGACTAGTAGTATTATAATTTTGCCACGACCCGTACCTTAAAAGGTACGTGCAACTGTTGTCATGATCAAGCTTTGATCGCATCGGGATAATTGCCTAAAACGTTTTTTTTTTACATTTTTACACATTGAGTGTAATGTGTACGGTCTTCGAGCGCATCCCGTGCTGTTGTTTTCGGTCTTGTTGATATAGATTCTGCTCATCTTCAAAGTAGCTTTCATCTTATAAGGTAGAAGGAATTTGAATTCGACGGATTTCCACCTTTTATATCAGCAGCCATATACTTCAACTCTCAGCCCTATCTTTGCTGTGCCACCCTCTGTGTCATACAGCGATATCGGATACAGTCGCAATACTCGCGCAACAAACGGATGGCTCATCACGTTTGTTTTGACACCAGTCGAATTGGAGTTTCCTGTGAATACCTGAAAAAGACGCATGAACACTAAATGTAAAATGATTTCAAGATCAATGTCATTACGAAATCGTATGCAACAATCTATGATAAAATGACACCTATAAGATAAAACCGTGTATGGGCTTGTACGGCATTCACGTGTCACCACCAAGGGGCGGAGAGGGTTGTTTGATAATGAGGCAGTGACTTGGGGCAAAATGTTCAATTTCGAGCATTATTCAGCAATGAAAGTGAAAATATAGTAAAATCAAACAATACATTTACGACAAGCAAAATTGATGAAGAATGTGTAAATTCAACAATTTTATGCATCACTGTTTTTCGCTTGAACAGTGGTTGTATTTGACGACTAAACTTTGAAGATCGAATGAGAAATATTTGTTGTGACAACCTACTAACGTCGGGCTGGACGTACTACGAACGGAACCATCGTACTTTAATCCAACAAGGGACGTTTTTACAACGAGTTGAACTGTCTGGGGACGTATTGAGAACGAGGTATAACTAATTGCATCTAATTGCACTAATTGTTTTAGAAATATAGCTATCACACTAAGCAAGTTGCCACTGCGTTCTTCAAAACTGGTTTTAAACTGTGTGTGAACGGAATGAACGTAGGTACAACGTTCTACGGTCTGTTTACGAAGTTCATGGACTTTCCCGGACGGGGAATGTGATTTGGAATTTTGAATTCATTCAAAACTCGATGGCGACCATACCGTTCTGTAATCAGGTCATGATGACCTTCTAGACTAAGGGACGCGTTATACAACGTTGCACACCAACGTGGTGCGACCTGAACGAACTGTGAATGAGATGGACGTATTGAAGACTGTTTATGAACGAAGTAGCTAATTAATTTAGACATATTTCCCGACCATAGCCAGATTGAGCCCTTTTTACGACGTTTTCGTCGGACTGGCAAGAACGGGTAAGAACTAGTTTGGTGTGATAGGGGGGATATTATGGCTTGAGTAGAACTTATTAGGTAGTTTCCAATGCTTGATTGGCTTTGTATGATCGTATATAGGTTACAACTAAATTGTATGTAGTTTTGAATTTCATACTCGACAGTTTACGCTTACCCTACTATCACACCAAACTAGTTCTCACTACGTTCTCGAAAACGGGCTTAAACTGTGCACGAGCGGATTTGACGTACTAAGAACCCACTAAGAACCGTTTGGGATCTGTTTACAAACTTCATGAAACTACTCGAACGAGTTTGTCCTCCAGAACTTAGAGCATGCTCAAAATTTTCTGGTGATCGTCACGTTCTGCAATCAGAACGAGTCACAACGTACTTAAGACGACCTGGACGCACTGAGGACACACTACGAACGGAAGTGTCGTACTTCAATCCTACTAGGGACGTATTACGACGTTGTGTATCACCCTATGCAGACAGAGCCTGTGGGAAATATTGGGTGCGGCGCAAATGAGCGGAGGGTGCGGAGCTAACGGTCATTTTTGAATTTAAAATTGGGATATTTCTGAAACAAAGCCGTTTTGGGACTTCAAATATACCAAGATATGTGTATTTGACACCAAATATCAATAAAATTGTGAAAATAGTAGTGCAATTCATTTTATAGCGACGCAGTATGCCTTAAACATTTCCCAGACCTATATATTTTGAGACTATCCTTTTAATACTGCGTCCCCAGCATTCATAAAAAATGGTGTTCAAGATACACTACCCATGCAAATTATTTTTGCATCTTGGAAGCCAGGCAGTATCTGTGTGATTTTATAAAAATTCGGAAATGTTCTTCAGATATGAGCCCCTCTAAATATTGGGTGCGGAGCTACGTTTATGGAGCTGCTCCGCACCCAATATTTAGAGGGGGCTCATATCTGAAAAAACTTCCGAATTTTTATAAAATCACACAGATACTGCCTGGCTTCCAAGATGCAAAAATAATTTGTATAGATAGTGCACCTTGAACATCATTTTTTATGAATGCTGGGGACTCAGTATTAAAAGGATAAATTCAAAATATATAGGTCTGGGAAAGGTTTAAGGCACACTGCGTCGCTATAGAATGAATTTCGCTACTATTTTCACAATTGTATTGATATTTGGTGTCAAATACACATATCTTGGTATATTTGAAGTCCCAAAACGGCTTAGTTTCAGAAATATCCCAAATTTAAATTCAAAAATAACCGTTAGCTCCGCACCCTCCGCTCATTTGCTCCGCACCCAATATTTCCCACAGGCTCTGTCTGCATAGGGTGTGTATTCAGGCGTAAATTGCAGCCGTGAGTACTGAGTACCCCAATCTAGTCCGTTTGTAGCTCGTTCATTCTGTTCGTAGACAGACCCAACTCGACCAAATAACGTCCTTCCCATTTATAAAGGTTCACAGTAACATATTAGGACGTATTGAGGACGAGGTACAACTAATTGTCAAATAGTTTAAATAGATTAAGGACGTAATTGAACTGCTTGGATACGTTGTGTAGACGAGACAAACTTACAATTTATCCCGATCTAAACTTGATACCAACGAACTGCAGACGGAATAAAGACGAGATAGACGTATTAAAAACTGCTCATGAACGAATTAACAAAAATAGCTGTCACACCAGAACCAGTTGTCACTGCGTTCTTCAAAAACGTTGCCGAATCGGTTTTAAACTGTGTGCGAACTGAATGAACGTAGCTACGTTCAAAATATACATTACTGAATGTATCACCGAATGCGACGCTTTCATAAATCCTTCATGGTTTCATTGATATACAGTAGTATAAAATAATACACCAACCTTAGCTTTCTGTTCCATCGTGGCCATTTTATTGGATAAATCAGTGAACGTATCAGTCCTCGTTTTCAGATGTTGCGTAACCGTCATAGTATTACAGCGTGAATAACAAACTATGAATCGATATAGGTACGCGTAAATGGGCTATTCATAATTTTTAACATTTCAAGCTACGCACCTGGACTGTTTTATTTTCCTTATAGGAACACCAAACAACTTGATCTAGCGTATACTTCAGCACAAATGAAGTCACCCATTTTTTAACCGAGCATCCAGAGCAACCCTAAAAATACACGTATATCTTATCAAACTAGCTATCTACGTCACCTTCATCGAGAAACAAACTAGATAAACGTACGCGTCCGATTGTAAACGACCATAATTTTGTTAATCGCCTAAATATAGAACACAATTGTATGGTATTTTGACAGATTTACGCCATGTTAAACCAAGTGTCAATCGTCCAGTTGTTATACTTTGGTGTTGTGACGGATGTACGCCATGTTAAACCAATTTGCAACCGTCCAGTTGTTATAGTAGTTATATATTACTTTGGTGTTGTGACAGATGGACGCCATGTTAAACCAATTGTCAATCGTTCAGTTGTTATACTTTGGTGTTGTGACGGATGGACGCCATGTTAAACCAATTTGCAACCGTCCAGTTGTTATACTTTGGTGCATTGACGGATGGACGTCATGTTAAGCCAATTTTCAATCGTCCAGTTGTTATACTTTGGTGTTGTGACGGATGGACGCCATGTTAAACCAATTGTCAATCGTCCAGTTGTTATACGTTGGTGTTGTGACAGATGGACGCCATGTTAAACCAATTTGCAACCGTCCAGTTGTTATACTTTGGTGTTGTGACGGATGGACGTCATGTTAAGCCAATTGTCAATCGTTCAGTTGTTATACTTTGGTGTTGTGACGGATGGACGCCATGTTAAACCAATTGTCAATCGTTCAGTTGTTATACTTTGGTGTTGTGACGGATGGACGCCACTTTAAACCAATTTGCAACTGTCAAGTTGTTATACTTTGGCGTTTTGACGAATGGACGCCACTTTAAACCAATTTGCAATAGTCAAGTTGTTATACTTTGGCGTTTTGACGAATGGACGCCACTTTAAACCAATTTGCAAACGTCACAGCAGGTGGAGACTAATTTACACTACTAAGTTGTTACATTACATTATTGTAACAAATACAAAAATTAGACGGACACGCGTTGGTGTTTGGTCTTCGCCAATTTTGAATTAATATTAGAATGTGTTATACCTGGGTATCAATTCGATGAACTGTAATATCCGACCCTAAATCAAGTTGCAACCATGAGTTCCAGGGCACGGAACCGTCATCAAATGCAACCCAACCTAGATCATTTCCAAGTCTTGCCTTTGATGGTTCTCTCTCGGGATTATAAAAACTTGCGGCGAATTCATTATGAGTTTTTGTTCCACCCTCAGAAAACCCAAGTCCATGTACTGTGCAATCTAGGATGAAAAGAATTGTATTTGATTAAAACCATCCACAGCTTGCTCGCTCCATATCGACCCCTGTGCCAAAAATTTATGATACTTTAAATGTTTGGAAGCTCTGTGAATTTCTATATCTCTAGACCAAGTAAACCTTTTAAATACGCGTTTTGTCTTAGTTTGTCTTCCCTATGTGAAGTTATTCATTTTCAACACAGCATCTTCTTTTTGTAATTAATGAACAACTACATATGCATGTAAGTTTGTGGGTCATAGGAAATATTGCAGAGCTATTTAAAAAGACAATAGATGACGTGTTAAGTTCTAAAGATTTTGTATGTGAGATATACCCTAAGGCTTCTAATTAACATTTAACTATACAACAGCGTGAATTTGTAATAGCTTAGGCTTGGCTCAAAATAAAAGTCACTGATTTTGCAGTTTCAAGTTTTTTAGGTGGGTCCCGACTATGGTATTAATAGTTGATACATTTGGGGGTTGTTTCCATTATGGATGGTTTACACTGTTTTGTTTTTCTTGCTGGGTTCTGAAAGATTTTTGGTCATTTCCCTTTAGCATTATATTTGTGCGTACATAATATATTGAAGGGAATTGACGATAACCTTGATATAAAAAATGTAGATTATATCAGGTATCAAAACTTCTAATAAAAAATCTCTAAAATTAAAAGATTGGTGTCAAAGAAAACTACATGTAAAATAATGAAATAATATCGATTTCAAACATGTGTCGATTACCAGCAATTAATACAACTTAAAGGAATATTCCTTACCAAACCATCTCTCTCCTCATATGGTAGCTACAACCATATATATGCTTGCCATGTTTAGGAAAACACGCAAAAATGTTTTGATATGGTCAAAGGACAAGGTGCAATTATTGGCAAATATCCCTATGGTCAAAATGAATCATTCGTAGGTGTAACATGAAGAATAAAATGTCATATAATACTTTGGAAAATATTAAAGTGCTCGGACAAACATAAGCTGAGATAGGGATCATTTCGTTCAGTAAGGTTGTATTGACTTACATGGGGCTGTGCACCATTGACTTAACATGAGGATATCAGCAGATTCCAATAGAGGCCATTGGTTTCCATTGATTATTACAGAAATACCAAAAATACACTATGACCTGAATCGATTGAAATAAGCACTAGATTTTTAAATGATCAATATTGACCATATTAAAACATTTTCCCATGTTTTGCTAAATATGGAAACTATATATGATTATAGCTACCATATCAAGAGAGAAAGGGTCTGGCAAGGAATATTCCTTTAATCAAAATTCAGTATTTATTTTTTTATTCCAATAAAAAAATGAATTTGGCACATGTTTGGCACATTGTATGCTTTGATTTCATACTTTAGCGCCTGCACCGTAGGCTACACCCAACATTAAATGGCTGTTACAACTGTATTATTTATTTGGTCTATTGTATTAGGTGAGGGGACAACAATGGACTTAAGTATCATTACAAGTAACTCAATCGATTGTAATCCATCAAATTAATCGATACGTTACAGGCAAAATGGAAAAACAACGTTTATTCCAATCGAAGTAGTTGTCCTTGGGTAAGAGTGGGGGAAGAGAGTGCCGACGACTTGACATCAAATCTGATAGTGACGATTTAGCAGATACAAACATTTGGGAACAACACATTGAACTAACAGACCAATGATCAAGTAAGGGAAAGCCCAAATTTTTAAAACGCAGTTAGAAAAGTGATATCCATTTTGACCAGTCGAAAAAGTAAATTCCAAATAATGATTTAACATCCAAAGACACAGCGTCGAATGAGCACGGTCCTCTTTTCCACACTTCGGAAATTATATCTGTTATACAATGGCTTCGACAAATAACAAGTTTCATATTCTTACTAAGAATCATTTCCATTTTAAAAAATTACAACGAAAAATGAATAGATAATACTTTAAAATTATTTTATTTGCAAGCACGTTCAGACCATCATTTTTGTTAAAGGACAATGAGATAATTTAATCTCATCTCTTGAAATCTGTAGAACTGTATTCAAAAAGATTTGAGAAGATAATGCCAAAATGACAAGCGTCTGACAACAATATCAGACTGTCTTTTAAAAAGGCCTAGAAAGCCTGGCCAGCTCTAGAAACATTTTAAAGGACATATATAATACCGACGCATGATGAAATAAATCTATCACAACGTTCATTCGAATTAAAGAATAATTGCTTCCAGACAGTGCCAAAATCTTACCTTGTCTTTCCTTTATAATAATTATTTTTCGAACAAGAGCCATTATGAAGAACCAAATTTCAATGCAAAGCATAAACCACAATACAGGCGCAAGGAGAATTGGCTTACGTCAGTGATTTGCAAATACTTTTAGACGACCGAAGAATGATTGACGTAATTGCTAGAAGCTAGTTTCATTAAATCAATCCAAAAGATTTGAACTGATGGCGACTGTGAAGCTTCTTGGTTAAACACACACATGTAGAATTTTTATTGACCTTGACACCATACTTGATCAAGAAGTTTTAATCGAGGAAAATAGGATGAAGCAATTTGTCCCAAGGTTCCAATATACCATTGGGAGTTATGAATGCAAGTTTTAAGGATGTTTGGAGGTTTGCTTGCTACAAAGTTGAAAAATCACCCTTTTCACCAAGTAGTAAAACTTAAAAAAGAATCATAACTTTTCTATTATTTTTTTGTCAATTACATTCTGATTTCAATCTAAATGTCCATTTTTACACATTAAGTGTTCTAAGCAACATGATTGGGATGTTTTACTTAAATTGTTATGCTAACATATTATCTTTGAAGTCACCACCCAAAGATTTTTGATCACATAAGGTTGAGTATCGCGAAAGAATGTTGGGCCTACTGTTGCCGTGCAGGCAAGGGGAGGGTGGTTATATGTTGTAAAATAGATTTATCTTAATTGGTCTGCCGTTTGGTACACTCTTCAACCGACCTAATGCTATATATCCGCAATTTGTCAAACTGATTTTGGTGACGCTAGAAAGTGCGGTGTATGGACGGCCTACAACTTCGAATTCAGAGCGTGACCCTTTCTAACAGGCTTGACAGATATGAAGTGGCGATTTTGGACAATATATATTTCATTGTATGTATATAAATATATATTAATATTCAGAATATATAATATATATTAAACATATCTGTACAAGGTTTGTGAAGTGGTAAGGTATTTATTAAATAAGTAAAAATTGTGTTTTATTTTAACCAATTAATATATCACTCGAAGAACAGATTGTATCATGTTAATTCATAAGTTATATTTTAATAAACTGCACAAGTAAAAACTATATTAAAATATGACCTTGGGTAATTGGGTTGCTTTCCTTGCAGTTACATACATAAATATCGCCCTCGGTGCTACAGTGACTCTACAAAACATCACATTGATTAGTGTTTACATGCAACTTTACAGTCAATCAAATTGTATATTTAATCAATTAAGGAAAGTTTTGTGTATTAATTGACTTTGTACGAGTGTGTTATATCCTAAATGTTTTCTTTATGTTTTTTTTTGAAGAATATCACATTCATACTGTAAGTAATTATCACTTAGGAACCGTAACCATGTTCAAGTAAATATTCAATTTAGAATTCTGTATTCTGAATTTAATACACCTGTTTTTAGTTTAGAACCAAATGTACGGTTCAACACAAACTTTTTAACAATACATGTCAATATAAGCGAGAAAAGTCATACGGTCTTGAAACCATCTCAAAAATATCGGGTTTGATTTAACCGTTGTTCGATAAATATGTTATCAAAAACAAATCTGAAGAATAAGTTCATGAGTATACTTACTTCAGTTGTCCCAAACACCCAACTGTTCTCATCAACAACTTCAAGAGGATGGGAAATATTTTCATCAATCAGCTCACACGACTTAGATTCCTCATTAAAGTTGAAGGACGTACATGTTTTTCTATTGTGACAATTTCGAGCACATTGTAAGACATAGGGGGCCGTCAGTACTTGAGAGGGTACAGCTATAATGTGTTTTCCGTGTCTCAAGTTAATTTGCGATGATTTAATTCCATTCGAGCATGTTGTATATCCCAAAGAAACTATCCATATGACGATTAACTTAAGAACACAGTGCATTCTTATTGCCATTATAAAAATGTTGATTCTTGTAAAGTTATTAATGGAACTCTACACCGAAGTTCCGTAACACATAAATCATGCGCACTTGTTCATTTGATCGCCCAATAACAAAGTCAGTCGGTCAAGCCTTGATCATTTCCCGATTAATTTTCATATTATACCTGCATGTCCTTTCAATTATAAGAAGTGATGACCAATTTTCAGATTTTAGATTTCATTCCAAATCCAATGTTTTTTATTTGACGCTAAACTGTGATGTTTGTTAATGTAAGATGGTGCTAGGTTGAAAGAGATGGATCAACTCTCTCGCGCTAATCCTGCGCTGAACAAAGAACTTCTTCCAGGATCAGAAAAAACACTTCTTACTGCATCAATCATGCAGCACTGAATGGACTACAATTGTATTTAGAAACCATACATATATCATTATGACATATTTATAGAACAAATACTGTAATTTGGCTGTACAAGCTACCATAATCATTTATAATCTTACCTGGAAATTATCACTTAGACACAGAGTTTATGATATAGAAATGAATGAGCAGTAGAAGATCTATCAATCTAAGCAACATGCCACAATGCAATTTATTGTCTTTTAATTTTACAAACCGGAGAAGTTATGTCCATGGACCCTAATTGATGATGATAAGCCGCTATTAATCGATTTGAATTAGATTAGAGAAAATAAGTTAAATCACGCCTAGTAGCCCGTTATGCCAATGCTGCTACGTTTTGAAAAATTACGTAATAAGAAGTTTCAAAAATAAGAATTCCTAGAATTGATCTAGCATAATGGTAGATCATTTGTTTCTGTCAAATTCATGTTAAACAGAATAATTCAAGAATATATAATATCACATTTAAAGTGACTACCTTGCTTCAGCGGTAAAATACATACATCTTAACCGTAGTTGTATATACTCATCTCACCATTGTCATTTACCCCGAGCTACATATATAAAACAAAGTAGAATTGTTCGAAAAGGTGGTCCAAACTCCAGAAGTCGTCTAGCACTTTCTTTAAATTACCTCCATAAGGCTGAACAGGTTTCATGGTTGAGCCTACTCAAATGTTTCCCAATTACTCAGATGCGAGTAGGTAGTTACCAGCTTCGCCACCAGGTGGCTGATTCGGGGGCATTAACATGGCAGGGTATTAAAAAATTCCCTTAAACTTGAATATGCATCAGTTTTAGTGGTTCACTTTGTTTTGTACCCTTATGTATCTGATAGTTATACAAATTAAAATATGTCCAGTAAAAGAAAATATTATCTGCCCAACACAGGAAAAGATACTTCACTTTTTGTGGTTTTACAACATGGGGTCTATGGGGAATCTCCTCGACCTAGAAGTCACATTTTCAAAGAAAATTAAGTTGTCAAAGTTGATAAAATCTTTTCAAAACCACATTTCTAAAAGTAATTTTACATGTAGATTCCAAATACGACATCAGTTTGACTGAATTGTGAATTTTTAATGACGTAAATCAAGATTATTTCTACTCGCATCTGGGATATTCAATGCCGATGCATACAGTATAGCCTATAGCCTACTCGGATCATTGGAAACACAATATGATGAAAAGTCATCGCTGTATTTGAGCTTTTTAAATTATTACACCATTCCCCTCTTATCATATCTAAACAACGTGTCTATTGGGACACATAAACATACTAAATCATTCATTATTCGTGTGCGAAGACAGTTTATTGATACAATAAAATTTACAATAGCCAATTGCATAATCATGTCGAAGCTTTGTTAGAAATTCGAACTATCCCAAGTCTCCAGGGACTTCAGAATTATCAATTTATGTCGGCAGGCCATTTTGCAAATCAATGATTTCTGTTGTTTCCCAACACTCGTAAAATAAATAATGTTTATCGCTTTAAATCATATGAGATTTCACATCTTTGCTGACATCATAGTGACAAACTCTGGAATTACATAAAATAGCATGGAATGCGTTATAAATTGCATTGTACATTACGATAAAGCTTAGGAAGATATTTGGAATTTAAGGCAGTTGTTTTCGTGGAGCACAGTGATAATATGCGTTTTTTAATAAGTCGTACAGTGTAACTAATTGACATTTAACAAATTCTAAATAGAACATTCATAATTTTCTAATATTTTCAATGATTTTTCTTCAAATATTTTATTTTTTACTATCATACCAATTATTTATTAACTTTTTCTCCATCTAAAATGTCACTCGACTTTTTGGCAATTAAAAGTCCCTCCCTGCATTTAGTAGTCATATATTGTCATGTGCATAATTTTGAAACCATATCCTAATTATTTCACAAACCCTTTGTTGATTCTGCCATAGTTTCCAATTTGTAAACAGCATTTAGCCTTTTTAATTGGGAACTTTTTTGAAATTTCCAAAATGGCTGCCATGTGATTCCAGAATTAACATGAGTGTGACGTGACATCACAGTTGCTCGTTCCTAGGTAACAACAAGATCACAATTGCTCGTTTCTAGATAGCAACAAGATTTTTGATAAAATGGCACAGAATTACCCTGATTAACACCCTTAAAATCCGATTTTCAAAGAATATATTTGGAGAAACAATAAAAGGTAAGTGGAATAAATTAGAAGATGGTTTCAAGTTACCACAGAAGTCAATTTGAAACTCAAGAATGCTTTCTTTGACTCATAATCACAAAAAAGTCGAGTGACATTTTAGATGGAGAATTTCTTAGTACACATAATTTCAATCACCCAAAACCAATTTCAACCATCCAAAAGGTTTCTGTTGGTTGTGTAATTTATTATCTTATTCTATAAAGTATATTCCCGGGGGTATATCGGGATTTTAATAGATGTTGTCACGCAATCAATTTCGATCTAATGATTTTCAATCAAAGGAATATCATTTCGAGACACTATATTCTAATAATTTCCTGAAATAATATTGCACTGTCAAGAGAAAAGCATTATTCAGATTATTGTGATTGCTATGGAGATACCTATCACTCTCTGTAATTGACCTGATTATCAAACGTAGTCTATAGTTAGCGAATGCCCAAGTGGATGAGGGCAATAGCCTATGTTAGAGTTAGTAAAGTTTTAAGAATGAGAACAAGGTTGTTACATGTATGCCTGATACAGGCGTCAATGTTTCACATGTTGCCCTACTTTGCTCATGTTAAAATGTTATATAAATATATACCCTCATAATTCACTTGGTTGTCTCCATCAATATCCGCATCTTTAATAAGCTCCTCTACTTCCTCCCGTGTCATGGATTCCCCAAGGCTAGCCATTACGCTCCTCAACTCAGTGGCACTGATCACACCATCCCCTTATGTAAAATATATAATAACAATGAATTAATGTATATGTTTAAGCTTATATGCCACCATGACCTACGTAGACAATAATATTATATAATAGCCAATCGGAAACTATAGTTCAAGTAATAATTATAAAATTCGCATTTGCAAAAAATGACACTTCGATTACAAAAACAACTCCCATCACATGAAAGAAAGCAATCTCATTGAAATAAAATGATAAGCATGTTATAAAAAACGAATTGCTATACACTCAATAAACGTCTCGGTCAATGGCATGGTGAACCTACGTTCTGCGGGCCTACGTAATTTGTACCCACTCTCACCTTCATGATTGTGTTTTAGAAATTGAGCAAACTTTTTAGGATTGACTTTTTAAGATCTTTTCCATTTTCATAATCATTATAACAGATTTAAATAAATACGTGTTTACGCGTTATGAACTTGGAGGTTTTGGATACAGGGTTTATCCCAAGGGATATACGTGTTTATCCCATACTTGGACGTGTTACAGGTACATAAAGCCGGTTTGTAAAATCTTATATTTTCACCAGCGGGCAGATATAGCTTTTTACAAACCTACTTTATGTACCTATAACACGTCCAAGTATGGGATAATTGTTCATAATTTGTAACGTTCGCGTAATAACTGTAAACGACAATGGAGAAAACACAGACAATTGGGATCTGTTTGATGGTTTAAAAAAGGGAAGGAGCATCCACTTAATCAATCAAAAAATTCGAGAAAATAAATGTGGGAATATTTGAGAGAACAGGAAAATCCGCCCACGGCCAAGAAAACAAAACTGGACATGAATATTCTAAAATATTTCCACGATTGAACAATGTGAACCAGATGACAAAGATTGGTATGGGATAAACATATTATCCTATAGTCGGTTCAGGATATTGGGTTTATCCCTTGGCCAATATAATATATTTTCCCTCGGGACCTGCGGCCCTCGGGCAAATATATTATATTTGCCTCGGGATAATCCCAATATCCTGAACCCCATATAGGATAATCTCTATATCTCTCGAGGGACTACAGGGTACCGAGCGGGATACACACATTTCATGAGGGATAAACCCTGTATCCAAATCCTATCATACCCAACAGATGACAGATGTATTCCAGGTCTTCTGAGGTTATGCATTCTCTCAGTCTTAAAATAGTTTTTAGGTTTTTGAAGTTTTTACACTCGTATATTGCTGAAGCAGATCAATGAATTGATATCAAAATCTGAAATATGTAGTTTAAGTTTGAAATGTAATCTTTATTTCGTAAATTGAGTAAAACGTCAATTGAGTTCCCTTTTTAGAAGCGTGACCCAGAACCTCGGTAATTAACTAATTATGGTATATTATATCATCTATTAACGCATTGAGTGAATTCAGTAATATAACAACCTTCATCATCACAGACACTGGAACAAGAGTTCATCCCCCTCCCACTCACTATGTATTAGGTATAAACATTATACAGTGAGTGTGATGGCGGTTAAATCTTCTTCCTGGGCCTGTGCTCATCACTATTGCTTCTATCCATTTACCATCTTTGTCAAACATCTTGAATGCTTGTTTCATTTCCAGCTCCGGGTCCTGCCATGATCCTCTGTATGAGCACATCATTTGGACAAACTCCTCCAGTTCTATGGAACCACTTCCTGTGGAAGTGAAGTGCATTCGTACAGTAAAATTTTAAGTGTTTTTGAGTACTTTGAATTTGAAAAATAAGCAATCAAATGATCAAATTGAAACAGTTTATGTAAATAGAAACATTTATATTTATCCTAACTTTTGTTTATTTTAGTTTTTTTTTTATTTTTATCGTAAATATCAAACACAATAAAAAATTATTTTCAGCATAGGCGGGACAACAATATTTAATAATTTGTACCACTTGGGTGGCATTTGAGAAATGCTTTAAAAGTTTATATATAGATAAAACCGATTGAATGGATGAAATACTTTTTGCATTTATTTTCTATTCAACTGACTTGAGAAAATAATGTGATGATTTAAAAATGTAAACTTCTCTTCCTAAAATGGTTGAAAATATTACGCGGTAAACACGATACAAATATGTATCATATTCCGCAATGAATATGGCATATTCACTTGCGGTGCATGACAGAATCACATGCGGTATATGGTATACACTGTACTCCCTTACTAAGGAGAACGTGATACGGAAGTACGCAATTGTCAATTTCATCGATTGAACGAACGGCCATGGGCAAAGGTTTATTATGATCATAATGATCACTGCGGAATATGCCATACTAACCTGCCATATACCACAGGTGAGTATGGTTTATTGATCCCTATCACAAATACCGCACAACCATGAATAAATGACATATTCCGCGTAACAGAAAATTCAAATATTTGAAATAAGATGAATAGGCTAACCTTTTTCAAAAGTCAAATTACTTCAAAAATGTCTTGAATAATTTTTCATGTCATGAGAATGAGTGATTTGACTAAACTTTGTACGAGGCTTTTGACAGTTTTTGTTAAAGTTTCAGTTGAAATAAAACTGGATGGGTGTATAAAAAATTAACCCTGAGACGTGATTTGCATTAACTATTCTCTTTCAACCACCAATAAGATAACATCAACGTATGCGAATTTCGGATTTACTGTACACCTGAATGTGAAGGTCTGTGAAGCCTCTAAAATATTATGAGAAACCATGCCTTATCAAAAGAGAAAAGATGTGGAAGCTTTTTGGCCCCTTTACGTCATACCCGAACAGCGTCTATAGATATTTGAAAATAGCTAATTATGATTTTAAGGAAATTAGGCTAAGTGGTTGAATCTATTGTCTCACTGTTTGATATGCAGTTGGTCGATTTCAAATAAATAGATTTATTTTCGTAGAATGTTGTTGATACCAGAAGCGTTCTTGATGATACGGCGTCTTTACAGTTCTTTATTGTTAGTCTATTGTTTATTTTTATTATGACGAAATTAATACTATTTCATGGCTACAACAATCGATCAGGGAATTATAAAGCTTACCATCTGTGTCTACTTCATTAAACATCTCCTGTAGTTGATCCTCGTCTATATCTTGTTGTAAAGATGACACTACCGTCTTTACCTCTTCAATGCTAATCCTACCATCTCCATCTTTATCAAATAGCTGGAACGCTTCTTTTAGGTCTGTAATATGATGTTTAAGTAGTATCATTAATGAATAATTATCAAACAGTTCAAATCGCTTATTTTAGCAAGTAACAGTGAGTAATTTTTTTGTCTCTGCACTGTGTGACATTTGTGAACAAAATGAATACTCAATTTAACATGCATTCATCTATTGCAATGACACTAAATGTTCAAGCAGTCCTGTTTTAATATATGTGAGGTGAATCCCAACAATCACGATTCCATTCTTGGCAACGATAGACTACCAACATCTGAAAACTTACTTTACCTTAAGATGAAATACTACATATAAAACCAAACTAGCACAAGAAAAACCAGACTTACAAAGATGGAACAGTAGTGTGAAGAAAGGCATACTTTCAAAGGAAACAAATAGTTACAACGACAGTTGAAGCCTCCTAAAAAGATTCATATGAGCCCCCTTGCATCATCAACTTCTAAACGTATATTCAAAATGAAAAAACCTCCTCACCAATATGGGGTTTGTAGAAAAAGTCGGGTACCGGGTAGTAAATCCTCGATGCTGGGTTTAAACTTGGTACCCGGCACCCGGTCGAAAAAAACGGGTACTCAAAAAACGAGAAATACGAATATATAACATAATTAGATCATTAGAAAACATGTAAGATTTGTTTTGAATGTACAAAAATGTGTGTAACTTCCTTCAAAATTGAGCTCGAAGCTTCAAATAAAAAGCATTTTAAGGCTCTTTTCTTCCTCTGTCATCATGGTCACATTTTCATTGGTTATAGGGGGGGGGGGCGCGATCGCCTATGACATTGTAAGACGTAACAATTTGCACTTCAATGGACGTTTCGTCGAAAATTGGGATAACTTAAATTATGATTAATAATCAAAATCTTACACGTTGCATCATGTAAATTAACACACGTCACCTCTCTGCTAAAGTAACGATAGCTATTTACAGATTTAAATCATAATCAAAACAATTCACGTACCAACATACGAACTATTGAAAATAGAGTAAGATTGATTTGTCATGTTTTTCATATCGTCTTACAATGTCATAGGCGTAGCGATCGCACCCCTCCCCCATAACCAATAAAAATATGACCATGGTGATAGAGGGAGAAAAGAGCTTTAGAATGCTTTTTATTTGAAGCTTCTAGCTCAATTTTGAAGGAAGTTACATACATTTTTGTATATTCAAAACAAATCTCACACGTTTTCTAATGATCTAATTATGTTGTATATTCAAATTTTTCTTTTTTTGGGTACCCGTTTTTTTCGACCGGCTACCGGGTACCAAGTTTGAACACAGCATGGAGGATTTACTACACGGTACCCGGTACCCGGTTTTTTCTACAAACCCCACCAATCTGACATCTACCATTATTTCTTTTTTTCGGCACAAGTGTTTCCACAGCAGGAAAAGTAACGATGAGTATATCAAATAGATTCAATATGCATTTTGCATTTGCATAATGATTACAAGGGATCTACATGCGAGCATAACATGGTATCTATAACTACATGTCTTCGTTTACCTCTTGACTAGCTGTGATCAGTTTATGAAGCATCAATTTAAAAGCATGAAAGAAGACTATTATCACCTTCAAAATATTCTGAGATATATTCTTGTTCTGCTTCCTAGTCAACTCGTACCCAAGACAACTCGTACCCAAGACAACTTGTACCCAAGACAACTCGTACCCAAGTCAACTGGTACCCAAGACAACTCGTACCCACGTTTATTTTCTGTATTATGGGTGCATATAAGAAAACAAATTGAGTCTGTGTCAAAATGTTTAATGTTATAATGTGCCTCAATATTTTTTCTGAATTTAGAAGACATTTTTTCTTAATGGATTAAGCAAAGCATTTTGTTTTAACTTGGATTACCTTTGAAGTGCTTTGAAGGGCTTGTTCTCAACTTTTTTTGTAATACATATATATAAATGAATATAATTAAAACAGTAATTTTTCAACAAATGAATCAAACAATTAATTTAGCTTATGCATTCAGAGAAAATTAATAAGGGAACTTTAATCTGTTAATTTCTTTTCCATTTTGAACTTAATTGGATTATATTTGAACACATGCATGCAAGTTTTGAAAATCTTTATATTTTTGATAATACCATCATATTTCAAGATGAATTAGATCTGATACTTGTTCCAAACACTCATTAACATACAAAAATACCACTAATATTGTGAACAATGATTATGAATATGTGGAATAAACATAAATCTCTTCCCTCGAACATCTGAATCTGTGACCAATATATTTGGTCACAAATTTCAATCGATTTCTTCCAAAAACTCTTCTACATACTTCAAACTATTCTGAACTGTATGTAACCGTTATAATATGTATATCTATACCCATTCCCAGCCCAACACTTGATTCAAAACAAAAGATATACTTGGGTACAAGTTGTCTTGGGTACGAGTTGTCATGGGTACGAGTTGTCTTGGGTACGAGTTGTCTTGGGTACGACTTGACTTGGGTACGAGTTGTCTTGGGTACGAGTTGACCAGTTACCCTTGTTCTAACATCCCCTCTCTTACCTCACTCGCATTTTCACAATCAAAAGCAAGTTTGGCATGACTATCCAAACACGTACACACTCCAAACAGATGATACTAAATAGGTAATCATAATTTTGACGTTTTTTATCAAACAAAGCATGTGTGTAGCGTTATCCTGTAAAAACGATCACTTGGTGTGTCGTACAAGTTCCATTACCCTGGGGTTACGGAGCAAGATCAAATAACCGGAAAGTGTAACAATAAGTTTTTGTGAAACATCCGAAACATCGACCCATACTACAAACATAAGTAAACATATTCTTATTTATCTTGCAAAAAAGATGTGCAAGGTATGTTTGATCAACTGAAATCAATAACTAAATGACAACAAACCTTTTTAGCTATATATCAATTAAATATTTGATGATGTTTTTGAATAATTTGAGAGTAATTTTGAGAAGACCCCTTATTACGGAAAGCTAAAGGGGATATACCGCAGAATTTAAAATTCAATGGAGTTTTAACATGGGAGTGATATCACACACCGCGGCCCAGTCAGATATATTTCTGCGCACTTTATTTATTTAATTCACTTTGCACAACGCGCCCCTGTAATTCATTCAGTGCGCAATTAAAAATTGTTTATGAGTGATATCGCACACCGCGGCCCAGTAAGATCGATTTCTGCGCACTTTATTTATTAACATACTCAAAATATCGCGCTGAAGCTTGTATATGCTGGCGCGATGTAATTATAGTTTTCTGTTAATAAATGCCCAACAAGAAAGGGTAGCACAACGAATTCAACTTTTTTCGAAAGACTGCAGACTTGACCTGCGAAATTGTAATTTTGGATCACAGTGATGCCTCTAGAGAGGATATCTATGAGAATTACAGATTATAGTGCGCAGAATTATAAAGTCAAACTGACCTCAAAATGGTAGTACACAGTGTACACTGCCATCTTTCAATAAAGTAACTACAGACCTTCGTATACAAAATACCAGAATGATTGATGTAATACCTGTATACCATTTCTTCTGGGAGAAGGAAAGTTCCTATATGTATTCCATGGCCGTAGCCAGGGGGCCTCACCCCCCTCCCCCTTGCCAAATATTCGTTCAAAATCATGCAGTTTTTCACCATTCTTAGCACTTTTCGCATGATTTTTTTTGCCATAACTGTCAAAAAGCTCCCCCCTCTTGGCAAAATCTCCCCCTTGGTAAAACCACTCCCCCAGGTTAATCCAGGATACGGGTCTGTATTCTTAGACGAGATTGTTCAAGAACATAAGGTAGACATAAGTGTCACCTGTTAAAAGCTAGGAGATCTTTTCTAAGTTATTAAGTCATCAATCAGCAGACTGGTAATTGTATCCCCCACCCACTTCAAACTCCATACACTAACATACTATTACAATTTTATCTTTGTTTATTTGACTGTAGAAGGTGTACATTCATAGCATTGAATTGCATTTCATTGCATTGTATTGTATTGTATAGCACATCATTGTATTGTATTGTCCTGCATTTTATTGTATTGCACTGCATTGTATTGTATTGCAGTGCATTGTATTCTATTGCATTATATTGTACTGTATTGCACTGTATTATATTATATTGCACTGCATTGTACTTTATTGCACTGCATTGTATTGTACTGCAGTGTACTACATTGTATTGCGCTGCATTGTATTGTATTGCACTGCATTATAATGTATTGCACTGTACCACATTGTGTTACACTGCATTGTATTACACTGCATTGTTTTGAATTGCACTGCAATATATTGCACTGCACCATATTGTATTGCATTGCATTGCAGTGCACTGCATTGTATTATATTGCACTGTATTGTATTGCACAGTATTGTATTGCATTGTCTTGAATTACACTGCATTTTATTACACTGCATTGTATTTTATTGCACTGCATTGTATTGTACTGCAGTGTACTGTATTCTATTGCACAGCATTGTTTTGTATTGCACTGTATTGTATTGCATTGTATTGAATTGCACTGTATTCTATTGCACTGCACTGAACTGCGATGTATTGTATTGTACTGTATTGTATTGCACTGCACTGTATTGAACTGCGATGTATTGTATTGCACTGCATTGTATTGCACTGTACCACATTGCATTGCACTGCATTGTATTGAAATGAACTTCATTGTATTGCACTGCACGGCATTGTTTTGCACTGTATTGCATTGCACTGCATTGTATTGCATTATATTGCACTGTATTGTATTGCATCGTATTGCACTGCATTTTATTGTATTATATTGCACTACATTGTATTGTATCATATTGCACTGCATTTTTTGCATCATATAACACTGCTTTGTATTGCATCATATTACACTACATTGTATTGCATCATATTGCACTGCATTGTATTGCATCATATTGCTCTGCATTGTATTGCATCGTATTGCACTGCATTTTATTGTATTATATTGCACTACATTGTATTGTATCATATTGCACTGCATTTTTTGCATCATATAACACTGCTTTGTATTGCATCATATTACACTACATTGTATTGCATCATATTGCACTGCATTGTATTGCATCATATTGCTCTGCATTGTATTGCATCATATTGCACCGCATTGTATTACATCATATTGCACCACATTGTATTGCATCATATTGCACTGCATTGTATAACATCATATTGCACTGCATTGTATCGCATCATATTCCGTATTTACCATTTCGTTACAGTTTTATTACATAAAATGTTATTTATAAGATTATAATTTTCAAACATTGAAAATATTTTATACAATATCAATTAAAAGATATGAAATGGCCCAAAATAATATATTTTCAATGGAACCCTTTGCAAGGGTCACTTCAACATAACGCCATGTGTAATCTGTATGTATACGCCCTCTTTTAATGAACATTATCTTTGAAACCATATTAGAATCGAATCTGATAAAAGTGCGCATCATGGTCCTGGATGTGCTGCGCGGTAGAATCGGGAAATTTCAAAGTTCTCCTCGTTAGAGCCATCAATATTTTCCAAAATTGTCATTTCGCTGGTTCACTCCGCAGTCTTTCGAAAAAAATCAAATTCGTGGTGCCACGAATTTTTATTCGTTATTTATTCACAGATAATCATTTTTTCATCGCGCACTGAATGCCGGAATTTCTGCGCACTTTATTTTAATTAACTTTGCACAACGCGGCCCCTGTAATTCATTCAGTGCGCGATGAAATCTATCTGACTGGGCCGCGGTGTGTGATATCACTCCCATGTTAAAACTCCATTCGATTTTGAATTATGCGCATGTCCCCTATAGCTTTCCGTACCTTATTACAATATGCGATACTCTATATAATGAAAAAGTATAGTCATGCACTATACACATGAAGGATGTCCTGGGAAATTTAGCCTTGGGAATGAAGGAATTTTGAGAGATTACCTGTGGTCTCCGATTCAGTTAATTTCCCACTCTAAAAATAAATAAATATACAACGTTAGTAAAGTAAATTAATTTTTTCAGATAGTGAAAGAATGTGACCTATTTAACACATATGGTGCACAGACAGGTGACGCACCTCTTGGGCAATTATTATGATCAAAGCATAGTCGTAGTTGAATAATATAACAAAATATATGCCCAATAGGCAAAGAAAATCCCAATTATAAAATATTAGAAAATGAAACTCAGACAAGCACATATTATTTGTTGATGTTAATAAATGTAAAGATTTTATTAAATATGAAACAATCAGTGAGTGAAATGCCAAATAAAAACATAATGATGAAAACTAAAAATATGAACTTTGATTCAAAGTGCAAAACCCATTATCATACTCACTATTTCTTTGTCGGACTATCTCAAATATAAAAGGAAATAAAAAAGAAAGACAGTTGTAGGATATTCTGAAAATATTGTGTCACAAATAAATTTCCCGAGACGTTTTCTGTAAAAATTGTCAAGGAGATTGCTCCGCCTGCCTTGTCCCATGCCTGCCTACTCCCATGCGATAATATGGCAGTTATCCGCATTGTTACAAATGATAAGCTTAAACACAAATTGCAAATACGTCCATCATTATGCTAGTAAAGCAAATGGATTAGAATAAATCAATTAATTAAAATGTATCACTCACCATTTTAATGTAAGTTTTTGTAAAAAACAGTGTGTTCAATCAATGTGTAGACTCTAGAATATGTGTCAGATTTTGTTTACCCATGCTCATACATTATTTGGTGTACTAATACTGTACGTAGCTCTGCATATTTTTCATACATTTAAATACCATATGACCAGAGGGTAAATTAGTTTTCATTGGCAAACTATCAAATATATGAACCAAATATAATTTATAGACATTTTAACATGTGTTAAGGACATTGAGACCATGGATAGCGTTTTAGGGGTTGAGAGCAGGCACATATCATGATACCCACACTAAAACTAAATACAAACAATTGTCCAAGAAATATAATTGAGGGCAAATATCTTCTCGGCTCATAACATAATATGTATTCTTCCCAATAGTATTGCATATATCTAGCGACATGTTTGATTACCAAAAACCTGATGTCTAGATAAACGATGAGCTTTGAAATAAAATATTATATATACATAGTTCAGGAGCATACTTAGGTATTTTGATATCGTGTTTGTTATGATATGTTAGATGGACGTGATGCTAATAAGTAATAGACAGACACGACATATACAACAATTACTACGCAAAAGGTGTATTCCTTACAAAAATTGTAACACGAATTCCAATGCCAAAGGTGAATTTAGTACACATAAAAGATTGTTGTACAGAAACACCTTTGTATTTTTTACCTCCAGAATTTTTGAGTAAGCACGCATTTATAAATCAAATCAGCTATCAAAACGTATCAAGCACTGGTGGTTTAAGAAGTTAACAGTAGAGACGAAGCTCTCTTTTAAGAAGTGAAGTCAAACGAATGCAAAGGGTAACAGTAGAGTAAGCTTAAGTAGAAAATGTTCCGCCCCTAAAACCCCAAAATTGTGAACAAGTTTTAAAAATGTTTGTGCCCAAACTCTAAAATGAACCATTTCTTTTTTTAAACTTTTTAATGGCATGAAATAGTGACACAATAATATTTACATATGCTTATTCTGAACAACTTACTTGCTGATATCAAAATAAGCTCCAGAATTAGAACCCCCCAAATAGAAGATACAATGTTAAACAATGACGTTATTCGGTCTTCAAGCAGATGTCAAAAACTTAATTGGTCTTGAAATCTATTGCACCGTGGGGATACATGATGGATCCAATATGATCATCAAGTAATACGTCAACAAAAACGTTAAATTACTTAAACAGTCATGAAATATAACGGAGAATGCGAATTAATTTAAATAACGCAAGAGAATGAGGAATTTTAGGGTAAATTAAAATTTCTTACTGCGCATAAGAGAAATTGTAAATATAGAGGTCCATGGATAAATCATAACTACAAAGATAGCATTAAAAGATGTCAGGTGTACAGGTGTGACAAACAGAACTAGCAACTTAAAGAATAAAATCATAGCAGAGGATGAAGATTGTGAAGTTAAAGTTAGATTTTTTTTATAATTTTTTTTATTTCAAAGACTAAGCATGTTAAAGCAATCGCAAAAACAATTACAATACAGTTACATGGTAAACATACATTTTACAATTTTACAATACAGTATTGGTTAAGCGTTATTCTTTAAGAAATGTTATAACATTGGCAATCTTTTTTATTTAAAGGAAAAATCATCATTATCATTTGTTTAATTTTGCTTCCATGATTTTCCACTTATCGCCTCTGCCAACCCGTTTATCCATAATACAATATTCCTTCACATTACTTATATAACCTTTAAGTGTTGGTTTTAGCATAGCATGTTTACACAAATAAACATACCTTTTAAAAATACATAGCATATTATTGATGTATATCACACTTGTTTACTTTACATATCTTAAGTAAAATGAAGTAAAAGTAAAAAATAATAAAAAGACACAGACGTATGTAAGACAAGTTTTGATGAACCTTACACACAGTTAACGTTTATAAACTAATTGTCCTCGACCGTGGTCTTTGTATGTACACTCCCCTCCATAAGTTTGGCAACCTTTTTTCCTCATTGAACTACGTGTTAAAGCCTCTTTACCTTTGAATTTTTATTTACTTAACCTGCGATGAAAATACTTATACTATTGATGGAAACGTAATTTGACTTTAATTCCAATACCTCCAAATTTTCTCAATTTTTTTCTAAATTACAATAGGTCGAAAATTGATGATAAATTTGATGAATTTTTGAAAATCGACATTCCCATGTTAACCAATGGGAAATGGTAGGTTTGCCGCAAGTCATATGACAGAATATCCATCCATCCGAGTCCTTGCAAAAAATACGAGTTAGGCAGGCAATTGAATTTGCTAACTTTATTTAACAAAAAATTGATATGTTTCTTCAGGTTCAACAAAGTTATAGGGCTTTAAAGTCAAAGTTGTTTTTCAAAAAAAACTCTCCCATTGAAATAACACAGGAGGCGAAAAATTATTTTCAAAAATGACTTTGGAGCACTGTAACTTTTATATTCATCAAATAAACTAAACACTTAGTGTTTTAAAAAGTTAGACAATTCAATTTTCTATATAAAAATATTTTTTGCTGAATCTTTTACTGAAAAGATATCCTGATTTCTGATTTGCCCCGAACCCTCCATTTCCCATTGGATTACATGGGAATGACGATTTTCAAAAATTCATCAAATTTATCATCAATTTTTGACCTATTGTAATTGAGAAAAAAAATTATGAAAATTTGGAGGTATTGGAAATAAGGTCAAATTACGTTTCCATCAATATTATAAGTTATTTCATCGCCGGTTAAGTAAATAAAAATTCAAAGGTAAGGAGGCTTTAACACGTAGTGCAATGGGGAAAAAAGGTTGCCAAACTTATGGAGGGGAGTGTACATGTATATGAATCATTATCATGGCCTGGGGGCGACTCGGGTGAATGCAGGCTTTTCGATTCTATAAAGATCAATTCGCATAAATGTTTATTACGACCTCTTTGTACCATCCAATAATGTCTTTGTCTTTTTACTTGTACAGTTCATACGTAGCTATTTGTTGGGGACTTTAAATAACTGCACCCTATTTGTATACTACCTAGTTAGTATTGAATAAAATTTGTTCTCACGCAGCGGTACAAACTTTACTTAGTACCCCACACAATAATTAGTCACAAACTTTAAAACTTGTTTTGAACACTTTCCCCTTATTGAATCATGATGAAATTTCACATGGACAAACTATAAACACTTTCCAACACTCAGATTTTTTTGATTTGCTTGAATTTTAATTTTCAAATTTTTACAGTCATTTAAGATGAAGCACCAATTTCGCATTTTTTCACATTTTATGCTATATTTATGTATATTTGGCTTAATTCTTTGAGATGTACAAATTGAAACACTTGGATAAACTTTAACATCAACAACTTTTTAAGTAATTTTCTACTTACTGTAATATATTACATTACTGTCATATGTATTTCAAATTTTTAATAACTGGTGGATAGCATTATGAGGACAGTGGTTCATGTCTTTGTGTAGATTCATATACGCTTTCCGGGCCACTGGAATACATGGCGAGCATGTTTCTCATTTCAAACAGCGCGTCATTGAGAGCAAGTAAACATTCCTCAAAGGATCGGGGGTCTACAATTGAGTGGCCATATTCACCACAGGGGTTGCCAGGGGGATACCACCATGATACTTTTTGTTGGATGCTATTGTTGAAGAGCTCACAAGGATTAAGAAGATGGCCCTTTGGAGGTAGCATCACTACCTTTACACCATTTTCTTCTAATTTTACCCTGACTTCAGGATTGTAATACTGTTTGCATGGATTCAGGGCCCTCCCTGAGCATCCTAATCTATCCCAAACTAGGGTTGACCCCCTAGGTAAAAGCCGGTGAAGTCCTGGACCACCAAGATATCGATTCCTGGCTTCAGATGCAATTGCAAACTTCTTGACCACGGAGTCATCTGCATTCCTCTTTGTGAGAGATACCTTCACAAACTGCGACTGTGATATTACAGCTGAGCATATAATCAGGATTTTGTTTACTTGCTCTCAATGACGCGCTGTTTGAAATGAGAAACAACCCTCATGCCTTTAAGGAATTCTACAAAAAGAGAGCTACTGGTAAAGATTTCAATAGACGCGTTGCAGGAAGTAAAGTGGCAAGACGGGTGAAAAACAGGAGAAACAGAGCCAAAGATGCCCGCCATGTATTCCAGTGGCCCGGAAAGCGTATATGAATCTACACAAAGACATGAACCACTGTCTTTATAATGCTATCCACCAGTTATTTAAAATTTGAAATACATATGACAGTAATGTAATGTATGACAGTAAGTAGAAAACTACTTAAAAAGTTGTTGATGTTAAAGTTTATCTAAGGGTTTCAATTTGTACATCTCAAAGAATTAAGCCAAATATACATAAATATAGCATAAAATGTGAAAAAATGCGAAATTGGTGCTTCATCTTAAATGACTGTAAAAATTTGAAAATTAAAATTCAAGCAAATCAAAAAAATCTAAGTGTTGGAAAGTGTTTACAGTTCATACGTAGCTATTTGTTGGGGACTTTAAATAACTGCACCCTATTTGTATACTACGGTAGAAAGCAACTTACTTTTTCACCCATTGGAATACATGTAAAATTGGCAAAGTTCAAATCATAATTTCTCAAATCCCAGCCCATCGAATCCTCGCATCCATTCAGATCATGTAGTCCTATTCAAAAACTTCCCGTTCGGTTATATGGTGAAAAAAATATCCCACGAACGAAAAAAGATTTTGCTACATTTATAAGCGAGCATTGATTTCTGGGCCTGTAAAAAGCACGTAGGACCTGATTACCCCATTGATTTACTGAGACCGCCAAAAATATAATTCAATTTTTTGGTTCAAAATAATAATCTGTCAGCGGTCCCTGACACTCCTACTAGCTATCACCAAACATTAATTGCCAATACATGTACACATATACGTGCCATCTACAAAGTCGGTTGGAAGAAAAGGATGACACCACAAAAGGATGACACCATAAAAGGATGACACCACAAAAGGATGACACTAGTAGAAAAGAGATGACACTTGTAAAATGTTATAAGAAATAGATGACAATGCATGATTTCTATATTTCATAATCCCTTTGGACCAAATACTTTGCTAAATATAAGAAATTAGCTTTCACTTATGCAAATGATGAAAATGAGAATAAAGCAAGAAGAACCATTATAGAAGCTAAGATACA